GTTGAAGGTTGTTCCCAGACTTTGTGTGTACTACCGTTGGTATAGGTATTTGTATACTCACCAGGCGAAGGCTGTTCCCAGACATGGTGAGTACTACAGTTGGTATAGGTACTTGTGTACTCACCAGTTGAAGGTTGTTCCCAGACATGGTGTTTACTACAGTTTGTAAAGGTATTTGTATACTCACCAGGTGAAGGTTGTTCCCAGACATGGTGTGTACTACAGTTGGTATAGGTATTTGTATACTCACCAGGCGAAGGCTGTTCCCAGACATGGTGAGTACTACTGTTGGTATAGGTATTTCTGTACTCACCAGTTGAAGGTTGTTCCCAGACATGGTGTGTACTACAGTTGGTAAAGGTATTTGTATACTCACCAGGTGAAGGCTGTTCCCAGACATGGTGAGTACTACAGTTGGTATAGGTGTTTGTGTACTCACTAGGTGAAGGTTGTTCCCAGACATGGTGTGTACTACAGTTGGTATAGGTATTTGTATACTCACCAGGTGAAGGTTGTTCCAAGACACAGTGTTTACTACAGTTGGTATAGGTATTTGTATACTCACCAGGTGAAGGTTGTTCCCATGTCTATTCCCATAACAGGTTACAGATCCTCAACATCCTTGGGAGTCGTGCAGGCTTGCCCGTGCCAACGTGTTGTCAATAGCAACAGCGCTACACATGTAGGCATTGTACGCATGTTGTTGTGTCGGTTTAACTGTCGGAAATAATCGGACTGTCATAAAGAAACTCCGCCGTGTGATACCCGAGTGTAATCAAACCAGTGGGCAGTATTCTGTAAAAGACATGAACAAGTGACGATTGATACGAAGGCAGACTATATGCAAATCAGCTTGATGTCTAAGCATGACATTCCACCACCACTGCTTCTGCCACCTCCACAACTACTACCACTACTACTACCGCTGCTACTACTACAAGTACTACTACCACTACTACTACTGTTGCTGCTGCTACTACTACAATTACTACTACCAATGCTACTACTGCTGCTACTCCCCATCCTCCACTACTACTACCACCATCACAACTGCTACAACCAGTACTACTACTACTACTACTACCACCACCGCTGCTGCTCCTACTACTGCAGCTACCACGCCTCTTCCTACTACTACTACTACTTCCACTGCTACTTCTAATACTACTACTGTTGCTGCTACTACTACCAGTACTACTACTGCTGCTACTACGCACTTCTCCTACTACTACTAGGAGTGAGTGAGTGAGTTGGGTTTAACGCCGCTTTGAACATTTTTACAGTTATATCACGGCGTGTCAGCTAAATGTGGGAGGAAAGCCCGAAGTGATGCAGGTCTCAGACGTTTACCACTTCGGTGAAACCCACGAGCACGGGTATGGTGCTGACAAACCTAGAAACATAATCGGGGCGAACCGGGATTCGAACCCACAATCATAGGTTTCTGGCGTGCCCATGGGACGCAACTCTGCACAGCGAATCGCGGCGCCTTAGACGACTGGGCCATCCGTGCCCCCCCTACTACTAGGACTACTAAGACTACTACTACTACTACTACTACTACTACTACTACTACTCCTACTTCTACTCCTACCTTTACTTCTTCTACTACTACCACTCCTACTACTGTGACTACTACTTCTTCTTCTACTCCCACTGCTCCTACTCCGACCGCTACTACTACTGCTGCTGCTACTATAACAACTCCTACTAGTACTGCCACTACAATTATTACTGCTGCTACTACTCATTCTTCTGCCACTACTGCTACGTCTATTACTTCTACTGCTACACTGCTATTGCTACAACTACTTCTACTACTGCTACTTCTACTGCGACTACTACTGCCACAACTACTACTATTATTGTTCCCACTGATGCTGTAGCTGCTGATATTACCTGTCATTACAAGTACACCTTATATTATTATTACATTTCACTTAACTCACTTCTGCTGTTCGTGTTACTGTTGCTATAGTAACTACACGTACTGAGACTGATGTTTGCAATAGGCGACAAAATGGACCAGGCGGCCAGTCTCGGTCGCTTGGTATATTGCGACTGATGGTACCCGACGGCGTGGCACTTTGCTCAGTATATCAACCACTGGTATGTCTGGCTAAAACACCTGGAATGGTGTAAGAGTGACTATTACCACTTCTGCTACAACCGCTTGTGTTGTTGCAATACGATCAAAATTAAACATGAACTACGTTTCAAATTATTTTCTTTCAAATAATGTATATAGATTAAACTATAAAAAAAATATGAGGTGAACAAATATATTATTGTAATATCTATCTAAAATAACTTGGAAACACATTGACCAACCGACATCGAGTTAAAATAATTAGCTCACGTACCTGTATTTTCAATTGAAATACGGCTGAAGGCTGTTATCGTTCCTAGCTACGTATAGAGTCATTTTCCCACAATCTTTGTTATCGCATGGAGAATACAGAGAGACATGTAACAGCTAAATAAGTTGCTAAAGTGATCTATAGAGCTATATTCGACAGAGCAGAGAGACAGAAGACCATCATATCAACCAGCATTGATATAACCCGCCTATAGCGGCGTGGCCTATATCGACTGGTAAGCGAGGCCGGATTCATACTCTCTGATTGGCTGGCGACAGCCTACTGTATGAAAGCTGTTGTCGGTGTACTGCAGTCGTAGATGATGAAATGTTCTTTAGCTGTAAGTCAATGCGGGTTATGGATACAGTCGGGTGTAGCCTATATCGGCTGCCTTATACCTCATGTTAAAGGACAGTAGATATTTGTTGTCCACGATATTCAATGAATGAATGAATGAATGAATGAATGAATGAATGAATGAATGAATGAATATCCAACAGGACGTGGTGTACTTGACTAGCAACACTTGTGTACCGCATGTTGAAGCACAATAGATGTGTGTGTGAGTTTGTGCGTCGTGAAGACTTTTTAAAACTTGGAATTATGTAAAATAACTTCTGAGCATTTGACAGTAAATGTCTGTTCTTTATCCACACGATAGACTTAGCTTTAGTGACGAAGTGGTAACGATAACTTATAGGCCGCTGAGATGAGGTATAAAACAACATTCAACCTGATTCTTATTCCATTACTCGATACCTTCTCGAGTGACACGCAATGTCTTACTTTGGGACGGAGTATCTAAAAGGTTGTGCCAATTGCAACCGAATGAGTATTTGACTTTCATACAGCTTGGTAAGGGGTCAGTTAAAGAATCCAATGTCCGGTACTTCCTTCCCCAGGTTTAGTACCGTGACTTATCCCTCACAAGCAACTGTGAAACTGTTGAAACCATCACACAGATCTTAACTTAGAAAACGATGAGATATGCTGCTTGTTGCTGTATGCTGTATGCTTTCAAGCTGTTGAGAATATGGTAATGAGTAGACTGGCATGATTAGAAAACAAATACATTGCGCGTTTGTTGAACTGTTAAACTTAAACAAAACTTGATCTTGTCGTATGGAAAACGTCTTCGCCCCAAATTTGAGGAGCTGATTCTTACACAACATCAAACTTATGAAATGTTCCCCCCATAATTCAAGATGCATCAAATAACTCAGACCCACATCAACACTTTTAACTTGTTGGGAATGTGTTGATGAGTAGGGTGGCATGATAAAAAAACAAATTCACAGCGTGGTTGAAACTGTGACGTCTTTGTGGTTGGCAAACACTGATATACATATATGTACATGTACCGCAACACTCATCACATATAATTAACTTCTTCTTCAAAATCAAATACATACCCGTCTCTGGTACGCGAATATGAAAAGTATTTCTCTCCATCACAAACGCGCAGATATCTAGTATTGTCCCCATGATACATGTACATATCCTTGTTCTCGTATCCAAATCGGGGGCACGGGTCGCCACTCGTCTGGGGCAATTCGCTGTGCAGAGTTGCGTCCATTTGGCACGCCAGAAACCTATGATTGTGGGTTCGAAAACCCGTTCGCCTCGATTATATTATGCTGACACGCCGTGATATAACTGGGCCACTGTGAAAAAGAGGCGTTAGCCCAACACACGCACACACTCGTATCCCAATTGCAGTGACAGTGATCATATCGTTAATCACAGGATTGTCTTGTCTAGACTCGATTTTTTACAGACCACCGCCATATAGATGGACTATTGCTGAGTGCGGCGTTAAACAACACATCATTCATCCTCCATACCACACTTGTACATAACTACATGGGTAGCCATATCACATGCAGTCTACATGCCATACTCCACAGTGCAGTCCTCTCGACTTGAGGCCTGGGTAGCCATGTCAAATGTAGTCTACAGGCCAAACTCCACAGTACAGTCCTCTCGACCTGAGGCCTGGGTAGCCATGTCACATGTAGTCTACATGCCTTACTCCACAGTGCAGTCCTCTCGACCTGAGGCCTGGGTAGCCATGTCACATGTAATCTACATGCCATACTCCACAGTGCAGTCCTCTCGACCTGAGGCCTGGGTAGCCATGTCACATGTAATCTACATGCCATACTCCACAGTGCAGTCCTCTCGACCTGAGGCCTGGGTAGCCATGTCACATGTAATCTACATGCCATACTCCACAGTGCAGTCCTCTCGACCTGAGGCCTGGGTAGCCATGTCACATTTAGTCTACAGGCCATACCCCACAGTGCAGTCCCCTCGACTTGAGGCCTGGGGAGCCATGTCACATGTAGTCTACATGCCTTACTCCACAGTGCAGTCCTCTCGACCTGAGGCCTGGGTAGCCATGTCACATGTAGTCTACAGGCCATACCCCACAGTGCAGTCCCCTCGACTTGAGGCCTGGGGAGCCATGTCACATGTAGTCTACAGGGCACACTCCACAATGCAGTCCTCCTGACTCGAGGTCTGGGACGCCATGTCATAAACAGTGTCTGGTATACACTGTTTGCGTCAGTCAAGTTTGTTTCATTATCAGTACTCAGTCAGCAATGCGACCACTTCTAAATACTGAGGATAAAGATGGAAATGAAAAGATCTTTATTTTCATATTGTACACAAAATATAGTGTTACTCCTACTGATACGCTTGCTAACTATTTATATACAGAGAACGTCTTCTAGCTACATCGTATCACCATGAATTGCTTGGAAAACATCAGGCGAGGACAAACCAGTGAACAATAACTTGTGTAATAAGATTAACAGGTCTCCTATAGTGAGTACGTCGGCATTATAGCAGCAATATGGCGACTGTCTCCTATATACAACGAGTAATCACAACAGAGGACAGCTAGGTAAGATGTATACGTGTAACGATTACTGACAGAGATGCGATCATTTGTTGTTCTGATGATGTAGCGCCATCACGTTGTGACATCCTAAATATACAATGTTCTGGCATTATCACATACTGTTCTCGTGTTTCAACACAAATTATACAAACCATACACACTATCCTGCTTTCAATCATGGAACGACTGTGCAAATGATCGGTTCAGAGTCTAGTCCGGGCTTTAAAAGTTATATTGTGCCAGCCCACTCAGATACCAGGCTATAGCTTCAACATGAATCCCCAACTCAGACACACAGTACGGACTCATATAACACCCATTGTGTCTATAGTCAGGCTGGGAAACAACAAGTACCATGTTATAACGCATTTTTGTATGATGCGGTCGGGGATAGAATCAATGGCCTTCGCTCTCCAGGCAGACGCTATATCCAAAAGACCACGGAGGCGGTCTGCATGAAGCAGGATAGGACAACAATATAGTCATATATTTGTACATGATAGTACAGTGAATACATATCGACATTGAGTAATGGGACAACATGAATTGACAATGACGAATGGAAGAATCATCAAACGTTTCTTTCTAAATTGATAGGTGTACGGACTGACGAGTTTACAATATTTACTCGACATGAATAACACCTGTACGCGTTACACATGTAATGGTATTATTCAGAATAATAAGTAAGTCATAAGTAAGGTCATCAGTTGGTTATGTGTTGTGTGAGCTGTGGTCTGAAACGGGGATGTTGAGGGGCCAGCAGAAGGAGCAGGTCAGTGGTCAGTTGGTGAACAATTGGAGCAGGTCACTGGTGCACGTAGGAATGTTTTTGAGTTACATTCAGTGACCAGCCTTACGTTGCTGTACATATCTTGCAAAAGGCGCGGTGTCCTGTAGTCCTTTATGTATTATCCACTGCAACAGCAAACACACGTGTATGTAAGGCAGGTACTGATAGCATTATAGCTGAAATATATATCGAAAAGGTAGCAGAACAAAGAATGTGTGCTGGCTTCATGATAACCTATCTATGATACATGTCGTATAAATATATTGGAGTATCATAATTACCCAGGGTAAGATCTATCTTAAATCGATTATAGATGCACTAATCAAAGTAAACCTTAAAAAAGCACAAGGTTTGTTTATTGTATTGCAAACTTTTACATCAAACTATTGATGGGGGACAATATTTATTTCTTAAGAAATATCAACATAATACTAACCACAGGGAAATGATCACTGAATTATTTTTTGTTATGTCGCTATTTCAAAACAATTTGTCAACTATAAGCAAAATAATTACTTATCCATTGAAAAAGGAAGTGAAAATGAAGTCATCCATATGATTGTTCAACTCGTCACGTAAAACACTTATGTTAATATGAATAAAGATGTGTACCACAGGCAGGGTAATCTTCCAAATAAAAGCAATATAGATGTGTGTATAAATATAGTGACACAGGTAGAGTGGTAGTACAAATGAAACTAATATAGATATGTATATAAACAGAGGGACACAGGTAGAATGGTGGTACAAATGAAAGCAATATAGATATGTGTATAAATAAAGGGACACAGGTAGAGTGGTGGTACAAATGAAAGCAAAATAGATATGTGTATAAATATAGGGACACAGGTAGAGTGGTGGTACAAATGAAAGCAATATAGATATGTGTATAAATATAGGGACACAGGTAGAGTGGTGGTACAAATGAACCTAATATAGATATGTGTATAAATATAGGGACACAGGTAGAGTGGTGGTACAAATGAACCCAATATAGATATGTGTATAATTTAAGGGACACAGGTAGAGGGGTGGTACAAATGAAACCAATATAGATATGTGTCTAAATATAGGGACACAGGTAGAGTGATGGTACAAATGAAAGCAATATAGATATGTGTATAAATATAGGGACACAGGTAGAGTGGTGGTACAAATGAAAGCAATATAGATATGTGTATAAATATAGGGACACAGGTAGAGGGGTGGTACAAATGAAAGCAATATAGATATGTGTATAAATATAGGGACACAGGTAGAGTGGTGGTACAAATGAAACTAATATAGATATGTGTATAAATATAGGGACACAGGTAGAGGGGTGGTACAAATGAAAGCAATATAGATATGTGTATAAATATAGGGACACAGGTAGAGTGGTGATACAAATGAAAGCAATATAGATATGTATATAAACAGAGGGACACAGGTAGAGTGGTTGTACAAATGAAACCAATATAGATATGTGTATAAATTTAGGGACACAGGTAGAGTGGTGGTACAAATGAAACCAATATAGATATGTGTATAAATATAGGGACACAGTTAGAGTGGTAGTACAAACGAAACTAATATAGATATGTGTATAAACGGAGGGACACAGGTAGAGGGGTGGTACAAATGAAACCAATATAGATATATGTATAAACAGAGGGACACAGGTAGGGGGGTGGTACAAATGAAACCAATATAGATATTTGTATAAACATAGGGACACAGGTAGAATAGTGGTACAAATGAAACCACTGACAATGTACGAGTTTGAACATTGGGACACAGTTTGTGTAGTGATTGTATAGTTACAACATATTTAGCAACACCATCCACGTCAGGCTCACTCTTCAACATAAGTCAGTATAAAGTCAGCCGTGAGTGGGATCAGAGTGACTCCTGGCCCTCCTACCTCTGTAAATGTCATGCCACAGCAGCACCAACACACAAAGTCCAAGTAATGACCATGAAACACCTGGCCGACCTTCCCCTTGGCTCTCTGTAGCGCCTGTCTCCCGCTGTACTTCTGTCCCGCACTGAAATAAAGTACGGAGTGAGTACATGTACACACATGTTGTAAGGTTGTTTCCCCTCCCGTGTCTTCTGCCCTCCATGTAAGAGTTGTGTCCATAACATAACCAAACCATGCCCATCTACTGATTATCTGTGAACATGTGCGGCATAGATTACAGCTGTAGCTCAACATGTCACTAATTACATGCTGTCAGGATATTTTTATATACAATCTACCTGTGAATTGAGACCAATATATACAACACTGAAAATAGAGTGCTGATGTGGGCAACAGTACATGTTCGACTTGTTTGACGTTCACTTAACATTTTACTGCCGCTTCAACCAATATTGTTCTTTAAACTCAAACGGATCACAGCCAGGAGAAAGATCGATTTTTATTATGATACACTACCATGGGAAAACGTGTGTATTCCTTAATTTGCTGAAAGATATTTATTTACAAAATATATACAATCTCCCGTTAGTTAATACATTACTCTGATATTATGCATATGATGCTAATATCTATTAAAGATACGTGTTAGTAAATGTCTGGGGAAATAAATGAAACTGATACAGGCAGTAGACCTATACAACTTGGAGTTAACAAGAGCGGCCTGAAGTAAGAGTGTACAGGCGACAGTATCATATAAAGACACTACCGGTAGACTTATCCACACCTAGCGCAGGGATCTCTGGGTCTGTTACTCGGCATTTCTCAGAATCACTGTTCGGAGTTAACCTGACCATTGATTAACCTTTGCGTGAATGTGTATATTAAAGCCGTCATAGTACACACAATGTTTATATTGGGCCATGCGTTGATTATGTACAACGTTGTACGCAAACTGATAAATTGTATTGCATTTTTTATTGTATTTTGTGATGGACAACATTCAACATCATGACAAACTGATGTAATATCGAACATGCTTGATGTTAGAATAAATGCCCAAATATATCCCGCCTTTGTTAAGCAATCCAACATTGATGCCTTCAAACAAACAAAATACTTTAATAACAGTTAATAAATATCTAAATATTACCCTGCTTCTATCAATGACTCCAACATTGATGAGTTTAGACTACAGGCGGTTAATAGATACTAACATAACAGTATAAATATATTTCCTGCAGATGTACTGACAAAACACAATGTAATATTCTTACACAATCACGTAAGATATGATGATAATTATATGATTAGGCGTATTTCATATTGTTACAGATATAAAGATAGTTCTGGATGACCCTTGAACATCAACCTATTACCTGGGAACAAGGATTGCCAATGCTTTACAATCAGCTCCGTCACCTTAGGCTGACCGTCCACATGTAACTGACATGCAACGATCATGCTGTTCAAAGCAGCGATGGAACATTCATTCGGACTTATCATTACACCATCTTACATTACTTGCCATGGCAAAATAGTGAGTGAGTGAGTTGGGTTTAACGCCGCTTTTAACAGTATTCCAGTTATATCGCGGCGTGTTAGCTTAATGTGGGAGGAAAGCCCGAAGTGATGCAGGTCTCAGACGTTTACCACTTCGGTGAAACCCACGAGCACGGGTATGGTGCTGACAAACCTAGAAACATAATCGGGGCGAACCGGGATTCGAACCCACAATCATAGGTTTCCGGCGTGCCCAAGGGACGCAGCTCTGCACAGCGAATGGCGGCGCCTTAGACGACTGGGCCACCCGCCTCCCGGCCCCCCCCTGGCAAAATAATGTACTCATTATATTGATTATGTATTCAATGATACACACCTTGATATTAGTCAGAGATCACGTGGTATTCGTGTGCATATTTTTGATAATGATACTAGAAGAAATAAATATGGTTTTTTTGTAAAACATTTCCCATTGTGTGATGTCTTGTTTCAAAGTGGGATTAATATGATTAATAATTGGGGACTGATATCCATTCAAAGGGACAGATAAGAAAGCTATGCGAACGTTACATGAAAAGTACACCCATAGCTGTCAAGAAGACAGATTAACAATATTCACAAGGTTAGAGTAATTAAGAATAACACCAGTTTCACCTTGCCTGTAACGCATGCAGTTTGTCATATAGTTTAACAGGCCCGATCTATCTAGCATACAGAATAATAGAAACTCAATGGAAATCATAAACACCATATACAGCGCCGCTGAATGCAATATTGAAGAAGAATTTTGATGTCTAAGACTTGTTGATCTTGCTTAAATTAGAACATATAATCAGGTAGATTACACAACTGAAGTGAACAGCATACATCATGGGATCGTCGCACTTACAAAAATGGAAATGAAGTGAAATGTTCCTCCACATTTATTGGTTCTAGGACGATCTTGCCAGTCTCTTCATCCTGCATGATATTCATCCCGTCTCCTGCAATACACACCTAGAGGTAGGTCACATGTTTACACACTGCATACAGTCATAGAGGGGTGACCAACTGTTGTGAGGGTGATATATTAGAAACTAAATATCTCGTATACATTTAGACTGGCATACTTGGTAACATAGTCTCGTAGAATCAGGTAACTGAGAAAGGCGATCATCTAGTTTGATCTCGGAGAATCAAACAGGGTTATCTTAAAATTACTACTATCACTGTATTCAAGCCTCTGACACTAAGAAGCATGAACTGATGATAGTGAGTGAGGTTTTACAACACTGTAGCAGTATTTAAGCAATAAAAGGACTTAATGATCAGTCATTACGCTTGATCTTCACGAACTGTACTTAAATGGGGAAACTAACATAAGACTTCAATATCTGTAATTATTTTAACTACCCCAGGATGAAGCAGTGAGATATCTCTGATATTTATATATTTATATTTAGGTGATTATTAGTAGCAAGGTAGTACATACCAAATGTGGCAATTGTTGTCAGAAATACGTTTGTATCCGCATTATATTACCTCAACACCCCCACAGTATTACATACCACAGCGACCACACTGGGGAAAAGATGCTTCAACTATATCAGTTAACACTGGGTCATGTATCCAAACAGTAACAAAGTTCTGCAAGCAGATGCTAGTGGGTCATATCACGCTATTTCACTAAAGATCGATCACAGATTATTTGGGAGTTTTTAAAAATCACAATGAAGGTAGGTAATACACAATATTCGGTATCAAATTTGACATTTTCTATGAGTGGACCACCTCCATGGTTTAGTGGATAGATCATCTGCCCCGAGAGCGGAAGGTCGGTGACTGTCCATGGCCTCGTCACATCAAAATAGTGTATCCTGCCTGGTGCCCGGCATTAAGGGGAAAAACCAAGGACTGGTCAGACTGGAGTCAGTATACATGTGCTGTGACTGAGTGGGGTATACATGTTAGACTGCAGCATGATTTCTCAGTTGGCTGAATCCGTAAAACCGTCATTTATTAGTCCGGACTAGTAAACACACCGTTCATGCATGTCTCAATAGATGTGAAATAATCTTGAATGCGACATTAAAACTCAATTTCACTACATCTCATTTGTCACTAGTCTGTAGTGAGTCTTTGCATGTATGTCAACAAAGCGCCACTAGAGATATAGAGGCAGTTTTAAAAGATATTCTATCTCACCTGCATAGATAGACACAAGTGCTGTATTGTCAAAAAGCACCACATCCTCCAGCTCCAGTTCTCTCCCCTCACTGTCTACCAGTCTCACACTGGTAGTCGTGTGCACAGTGGAAGTTGATCTCAGGTCACGTGATGCATCTCCAAAACCGATTCATGTACATATAATGCTACTTCTTTAAACCAACAAACCCATGCTGCTAAACGATAGGCAATACGCATTACTCAAGTTGAATACAAAGTAAAAGTTAATTATAAGTGTGCAAATATGTGTATGACAAGTAATTGATACAGTCTCACTTTTAAAAGTAATCAAAGTATGTTTAATTTCACTGAAGGCATGAGCAATTGTGGAACTAAACTGAATTCATTCTGTTGGAGAACAACCCCACTTCCTTTCTCATATTAGTATGTTGGTTGGTTGGTTTGTTGTTTAACGCCGCACTCAGCAATATTCCAGCTATATGACGGCGGTCTGTAAATAATCGAGTCTGGAACAGACAATCCAGTGATTAATATCATGAACATTGATCCACGCAATTGGAATCGACGACATGCATCAACCAAGTCAGCGAGCCTGACCACCCGATCCCGTTAGTCGCCTTTTACGACAAGCATAGTCACCTTTTACGGCAAGCATGTGTTTCTGAAGACCTATTCTACCCCGGAATCTTCACGGGTCTATTAGTATGTAAAACCCCATTCACGTCGTCTTGTATATTGACTGAGTGAGTCAGTCAACTTGACCAGTATTTAGTAAGGTCACAGCGTGTCTTTAGTTTTGTATGGGGAACATTACCTTGTGTCACATCATGTTCCTCTGTTGGATGACACTGTTTGCAATTGTTGTGGACGTGGGTGATGTTGGTGATGTGACAGTTGCTATAAGAGATGTTGTTGTTGTCGCCGACCTGCATTCCCCCCTGTTGTGTGTCCATCACTAACGTTGTCGACGGTCTGACGGCCATGACTCTGATAAGAAATATTCAAAAATAAGCCGAACATTCCTGCATAGTAACTGTAAACTATTTACTCACAAATTCAGGCACCTGATGCATGCTCGTCGCCGATCTGTTCTATGACCCTAAACTATTTATACACAGTGGCGCCATCAACAAGTATACTCTTCGAGGGAAACATATTTGAAAATGTTACAATCCGGGTTGTAATCGACAGTCAGGTGACCGCGAGCGGTTATATTTAGCAGTGATCTTGGTCAAAAGCGCTTAAAATATTACATGTGCACGTACTTTTCTTTCAATTCGTCCTGGGCACGTCCTGCTAAATATAGTCGCTTGAAGTCACCTCAGTCGGATTGTAACCACGTGATCAAAAACTCAGTTTATCTTTTGGAAAATGGAGGTTACTGTTAGTAATAATCCTCATTTGCGAAATGTCTTGTTTTCACTTTATAAGTATAAGCATACAATCCGCTGTCTTTGTTTATTAATCATCGCGTTATTTCGTGATTCTATTTCGACCCACGAAGATCCGGGGTAGAAAAGGTCTTCAGCAATACATGCTTAAAAGGCAACGATTCTTGTCGTAAGAATCGACTAACGGGATCGGGTCGTCAGGCTCGCTGACTTGGTTGATGCATGTCATGTCATATGAAGTTTGCGCCTCTATGTTCATTACTGTGGGTATCGAGGTTAAGCTTCAACCGAAGGGCCATCCCAGTTCCCCTTTAATTAGAGCATGTTGGAGCTACATGACTTAGTTATCTCCCTACACAAGTCAATTTCTGTATGAAGACAGCATGTATTAATTTCTAGGACAAAGACATTTTTCAACAGGATCAAATTCTCGTCTAAAATACAAATTAGGTAAACCAATAACGTCGGTCATGGAATATAAACAATTACATTATGAAGACCACTGATCGAATCAATAGTCCATCAATATTGACTGACGTGAACAGCCTGCACGCCTCTCAAGTGTTTGACAACAGACACACAAGTGGTTCCTAAAACATGATTTGTTAGCTCATAGGATGTACATGCATGATTCACCTGGATAATTCATAAGGGGAATCACCTACACACGAACACGTGACATGCGATTAGATTTGTGACAAGAGCATGCGTCATACAATTACACAGCTTGGCTCCAGCTTGACACACACAGTAGACATAGCAGGGAGTGTACATGTAGGGTAGACCACTGGGGCGTGATTTGACTCGTCACGGTAGTTGCTGCTTTAATCAAACAATGTCAAGGAGGCCGGACACATTGCAAGTGATCACTGTGACTGGTGTTCACGAGTGAGTGAGTAAGTTGGGTTTAACGTCGCTTTTAACAGTATTCCAGTTATATCGCGGCGTGTCAGCTTAATGTGGGAGAAAAGTGATGCAGGTCTCGGACGTTTACCACTTCGGTGAAACCAACGAGCACGGGTATGGTGCTGACAAACCTGGAAACATAATCCGGGCGAAGCAGGATTCGAACCCACAATCATAGGTTTCCGGCGTGCCCAAGGGACGCAACTCTGCACAGCGAATCGCGGCGCCACCCGTGCCCCCGAGAGTTGGTGCTGCATTACCACACAAAGGGTTTAACCTACCGACATACATTTTACATCGACAGTTTATCATTTATTCAGTGTTCCTGTTTTGTGAAATATATGATAATGTTGATGTTCTTTCAGAGTAGGGGCGCTCGGTTAGCCTAGTGGTTAAAGCGTTCGCTCGTCACGCCGGAGACCCGGGTTCATTTCCCGACATGGGTACAATGTGTGAAGCCCATTTCGGGTGTCCCCAGCCGTGATCTTGATGGAATATTGCTAAAAGCGGCGCAAAACCATACTCACTCACTCACTCTTTCCGGGTTAGACGAAAGACACCCAACTACCTGTGCTTGTTGTAAGAGGCGGCTAAGTGCATCTGGCGGTCAGGTTAGATAACTTTAAAGTTTTCATCACCTCCCATGTGCACCATCACTTGCATTTGATGGCGTCCCCCTGATAGATATTCATTATGAATCTGATGCTAGAACTCGTGTTCGAATCTCAGGTACTGCCATTCCATATACATACATGTGTTTTAATAAATAAACACGTTTTATCAGAAGATTTCTTGCTTTCATTCTTATCCACCTCGATCCCTCGCTCAATGATGGAGCTCGTTACTTCAAGGTCCTGACACAATGCATTCATATAACATCAAAATAAAGGTCAGTGATATTGGGATGTTAAGCGGAATGCATGATAAACAATGTGTTACTTTTGTATCAATCCGTATTTAGAAAAATCAAAGTAAAAACAATTTATTACTTTTGTGTCAATACTGATCAGGAAGAACAGTTGTCAACAACACGACTGTTCGCAGTGCAGAGTTGCCTCCCTTACACTGGAAGTAAACCTGTGATCGAGTCACTTCGGGCTTTCCTCACAAATTGTAAGCTGATAGGCCGTGATATGACTGACTGTGGACAGCTGCGTTGAACCAAATCTCACTCACTCACTCACTTCTTTATACAATAGGCTTTACATCATGAAATTTGCATTGGGTTTAATAAGTTTCATAGTTAGTCTTCGTTCTTATATGAACTATATAGTGGGATTCTATCACACAATGTTTACTCAATAATGCCAGGGTATATCACAGAACGACTCGGCAGTATCCGACAGGTAGGTACCGTTGTATACCTTCAAGGGAGCTGTGTTACAACCCGTTTTGTTATAAAGTTGCAAAGTGTAATAATTATTACAAAACGGGTTGAGAGTCTTATTACAAAGTGAAATGCACATAGCAACCCGTTTTGTAATAAAGTTGCAAAGTGTAATAAACTTGGTGAATGATGCTGAAAGTGTTCAATTGGCACCCATAACTTGCTTATAAGTTCAATCAGGAACACAAACGGTCTTTACGTTAAGATTGGTTGTCATCATATCTACTTTGGATGAAAAGTTGACCTAACATTGGAATCGTTTCAAAGTGTAATAATTATTACATACCGGATTGAGAGTCTTATTACAAAGTGAAATGCACATAGCAACCCGTTTTGTAATAAAGTTGCAAAGTGTAATAAACTTGGTGAAAGATGCTGAAAGTGTTCAATTGGCACCCATAACTTGCTTATAAGTTCAATCAGGAACACAAACGGTCTTTACGTTAAGATTGGTTGTCATCATATCTACTTTGGATGAAAAGTTGACCTAACATTTGAATCGTTTCAAAGTGTAATAATTATTACAAAACGGGTTGAGAGTCTTATTACAAAGTGAAATGCACATAGCAACCCGTTTTGTAATAATTATTACACTTTGCAACTTTATTAAAAACGGGTTGTAACAGAGCTGAGAATGTCAGTTTAAAATTTCACTACTCCACTGAAGAGGTCATGATGTCATGCGCCTTGAGTAACTGAGTGAGTATAGTTTTACGCTGCTTTTAACACTATTCCAGCAATATCACGGAGTGAGACGCCAAAAAGGGGCTTCACTCATTTTACCTTGGTCGGGATTCGTACCTGTACTTTCGTTGTGAGGAGCGAACGCTTTAACTACAAGGCTACCCTACCACCATTCTCATACGCTTTAAACACGCCCCTCTATGCTTTGGAGTTGTTCGCCTTATTATCTTATATTCTATTCATCATTATATCCGGGGAGATAGGAATAGGTATAACACAAGCATGAAGTCTCATGTCGAGAATGTGTGAACAATACTTACACCCCATGTATTTCCAAGACGACACTGAATGAATATACTAGGAATATAAATGTCTCAGATTGATAAGGCGACATGTCAAATGTCTTTGTATGAACGGGTGTTAAGTGATAACCTAGTGTCTGACTTCCTACTTAAAGTATTGTACTAAAGTGAATGGAACGGACAAACCTGTGACTTAAAGGACGTGCAAAGCCTGACCACCCTATCCCCGAAGTGGACTCGTCCGACATGAATAGGATACGGGGACAATGTTTCTCAACATTCCAACAGGACGAAACTTTGAAGATTGTGTGGAAAATTAAAACATATCTTAAAGAGTTTATTAGCTGCTATCACTGTTTAAATAAACACACACACAGAGACATACACATACACGCACGTGCATCCATACGCATTCATACATACCTACGTACCTGCATCTATACTTATGTATAAAGTATATGGTTTTGTGAATAATAATCTATGTCGAGGCGTGTAAATGTTCGGCAGTGTGTAGCTGCCTTCTTATGTTAGGACTCAATGTTGACAACCCGCGAACCGTGAAGTGACATACAGGTAAGTTATCTCCCTTTAGTTGTACAAACCATTATTTAGTCTATTTATAGACACAGCAAAGAACTATTTTTACAGCTTTCGTCATTTTAAGAAGGATCAAATACATGTCCGAAAAATACAGAAAACTAAAAAACTGTACTGTACATCGTCAATGTATCGAACCACTGCGTCCATGTAATCGCTGAAGACGAGGACAGACTCCATGCCCCCCCCCCCCCCCCCCCCCCCCCCGTGTTTGACAACATGTCGGCCTTGCGTTCCTGATATACGGTTACTTTTGCCGACCCTAGGCGACATTATTGGGCTTATTATTTTGCATGTTACCGGCTCGTGAAACCCGCTGAGAAATCAATCGTAATGCATCTTAGGTAACTTGCTTATCTCGCATAAGTAGCGTTTGGGTGCATAGTTTTACATATGCTCACGCGCAGGTTAAATCACACCTATACCCCTCCAGATCGGTTGACAGCTTGTAATGTTATTGTCTAATTATAGACACAGCTCATAACTACCGTGTTGACATCGTCATTGTTACGCAGGATCAAATACTTATCTTAAATACACAGTAAAAATATAACTGTGTACGTTTAATACTGAATACCATCATTTGGATTACGAGGATCATTTATCGATCCATTCGTCCATCTGAACTACACATGAAAGTACCAGCTGAGTACAGCCACCATGTACGCCCTGTTGTCGACAACAGACGCCTACTGTGATGACTGATGCCGACACAGGATG